ATGTCGCAAAATTCGGATATGTTGTAGCTCTTAATCTCAGCTATCATTCCCAATTTGAATCACGCTGATAGATGAATTATTCGCGACGCTATGGTTTCGACGCATTGGGGGTATGCTGTAGGAAGAACTTTACTCAATCTCAAACTTCAATTAAGGTTCAAGAATCTCACATGGAATTATAGGAGCAAGAGAAAGATTGGAATAAGAAGAGAGGGATGAGAGGAAAAGTCCCAAGAGAGTCCCCAACTAAGGAAACCCCACAAGCACAGAGTTCCCTCCCTATAAGAACCTCAACTTTGACCTTTGTCCCTTCTCAACCAATCCATCCATGTTGGCCATCCTTGCCAACCTAGCTTGGTTGTTCCCAACCAATTTGCAGCTGCTACAGTAGAGTGACGAAATTTTCCAACCTCAAAGGTCCCAAATCCATATTGAGTCACCCCACAACTTCACTTTGTAACTGCCGCAATTGTAACGCAAGCTCATGAACTTTGAATCTTCATAGCTTTCGCGTTCTTGCTCCGATTGAAGGGATTCTCGTTGCGTCGGAAAGATCTTCTCAAGATCTATCATCACAAAATACATGCTCAAACAAATAACACAAAACACATTCCCAAACTCTAGAACACACCAAAATCTTGCACATGTTCAAACCACACATGCAAGTTGAAACATGGATGGGAGGCAGACAGAATGTGATAGCATATGATGACATCACACAACAGTCTTACTCGTGTAGGTTTGTGTCAGCCATCAGGCTCTCGTATGATTCGGCTTCTGAGGCGCCTAAAATTAGTCGGTCGGCTTATCCAGTGCTGACACCTTGAGGGTTTAGGCTTCAGTGTTTAGGCTTTTTAATGGAATTTGCCCGATCCCTCAAATGGCGCAATCTGTATGTGGCACCTTGATTGTCCCACAGACAGTTGAACTCGACGACATTGCTTTTGGTGTTTTGCTTCTTTGGGTGATTGCAGGGAAGACTGGAAAGTGGAGGAGCAGGGCTGGGTCTTGTGTTAACACAGCAGCTGGTAAGCGAATATGCATCATATAAGGCTGTGTGCATATTTTGGTATTTATCTCTGTTGTTCAGACTGCCCTACACTTCCTTTTAGCCTTCCCTCTGCGCTCTCTCCCTCCATCTACCCTTCCCCCCAGGCGTCCCTCATGGGTGCTCGTGTCTCCTCCTTGCCCGTTGCCCTCCTTCTCCCTCTGTCCGCCCACTCCCCCCTACCCCTCCCCAGGTGTCCTCATGGGTGGTCGTGTCGCCTGCTTGTCTCATCCCGGCATCGGCTCCACCTTTGCCTTCTCCGTCCCCTTCGCTGCGCCCCCCTCCTCGCCCACACCCCCCTGACTATTGCTGCTCACACTCCTACCGCTCGGTCTCCGACTTCTCACACTGGCGGCATGGAGGGAGTAGCTGTTGGCGTGGTGGGGTCTGATGCACAAAGAAGGGAGGTGAGTGGAGGGGAGTGAGGGGGATGGGGGGGTTGAGGGTGGGGAAGGTAAGGTGAAGGTGTGGAGGAATAATACCACGTGGCTTTGAGAGAGGGCTTGGTGGCATCATGTGGCGATCGGAAGAGGGCTTGATACCATGCTTCTCATAGGAGCAGACTTCTGTTTCTCGCCCTTAATATCTCCATCAGGAGTGTCTCTCATGCAATTGTGTGGGCAGTACCCCGCCCGCATGAACCTAGCACCTCGTTTTGATCCACCTTACGCCACCTCTTCCCTTTCGTGTTTTCCGATCTCTCCCTCATCCCCCCCACCCCACCCACCCCCCCGCCATTCCACCCTTTTTTTCCCCTTCCCTTGCTCCCCTCATCAGCTCATGGGTCGCATGTTATCAGGTCTCGGAGCACAGGTGCACCTGTTGCAACGCCAGCAACAGTAGAGTCGGGAGTCACACAAAGGCCGCTGGGAGAAACAGGGGCGAGAAGCCACGGGGAGATTGAGGGGAGAAGACACGGGGATTCTGCTGGCTCGGTGACTGGCTTATATGGTGGGAGAAGAGCCAGAGAGGGAGAAAGCGAGGAAGGGGGAGAGGGAGAGGTAGGAGAGAGGGGTGGTATGAGAGAGGGTATGCGCTGGGTGGTGGTGGTGGGGGAGGAGGATGTGTGGCCGCAGCAGAGTGAGGAGGAGAGTGAACTTCATGAGGGGGAGAGTGTGAACTACATGGCTGGTCAGCAGTGCAGTGGGAATGTGGGGTGGGGGGAACATGGGGGAGGAAGAGGGGCGGTGGGTGAGGAGCATGATAGTAGAACGCCTGGGGTGGCGATGGTGCCTGCAGGGGCAGCGGCATGGGCGGCAGCCGTGCGGGTCGTGAGGCGAGTGGAAGGGATGGCATGCGGTGGAGAGGTGGTGGGGGCTGTCGTTCTAGCGGGCTGCTGGAGTGGCGAGGAGATGGGGGGAGACGAGGGAATGGGAGAGGAAGAGGAGGAGGAGGAGAGGGAGAGGAGTGCAGACGGGGGGGAAGAGAGGCATCAGACTGAGATGGCCGCTTGCCCTGCCTCTGCCATCTCTCCCCGTGTGGTCATCTGTCGCCGCCCGCTGCTCTCTCACCATCTGCACCACGCTGTTCAGGTGAGCCTCTGTTGCCATCGGGTGAGGCTCTGTTGCCTCCAGGTGAGTCTTTGTTGCCATCAGGTGAGCCTTCAGCTCTTTAGAAATCTTCTCCATTACCCTTCTCTTACGTCATTGTGCTGTTGTAAAATATAGATCGATACAACATGCATGCCTAGATTAGGAGGTGTAGTCATTATATTTATTGGGGGGTTGTTGGTTGGGTTGACCAACCCCACATTTGGGTTGGTCAAGATTGGATTTGGTCCTAGACATCTGGTTGGCACTATTCCAACCAAATGGTCCTTGGTCCTAAGAACCAACCAATCACCAAGCACCACACTTTGTGGTGGCTTGCCTTCCAAGCAACCTCTCCCATTGGTCCACATTGTGGCCAATAGGAGAGCACCACACTTTGTGGTTGCTTGTCCTCCAAGCTACCTCTCCCATTGTTCCACATTATGGCCAATAGGAGAGCTTCCCTTCCACCTCATCCTTGCTCCTTGTTTGTACAGTAGAGTCTCTTGGCTCCCTACTCAATTATTATTTTCTCCTCTAAGCTAGTTCCTTCATGTGCTTCTGCACGCATTGGTCACTACCCTTCCCAAGCCCTTCCGAAGCCCTTCCCATGCCCTTCCACGCCCTTCCCCCCACCCGTCTCTGTTCATTCCAGCTGGCAGCATTCGGGCTTGAAGCCAGCAGCCCATCTCCTGGCAGCAGAGCCTGTGAGGGGTACGGGAGCATCCAGCCCTGCGGTGTATTAGAGGGCAGCAGGGGGCAGAGGAGCAGAGAGTTGCGATTAGAAGAGCAGGCCTGGTTAGCATGCTCCATGGATGGGCAGGGTGACACTGAGGAGGGTGATTATAAAGAGATCTGTAGAACAGAGGATGGCGCACATGATGGGGGGAGGAGCATGCCCATGCACGGCGACGACGTCATGCGGTCGACACCCTTGGATGCCTCCTGCGGTTTCAGAAGCAGCAGCTTGGGAGACGGTGAGGGGACTGGCAATGCTGGCGGTCACAACCATGGGGGTTCTAGCGTTGGCAATGCTGGTGGTGAGAGCCAGGGGGACGTCAGAACGTGGGCTGCCGCCGGTAGATGCAGCAGCCTCACAGGAGGCACGTTGTCTTGCAGTGCAAGCATGGAGCGAGAGAGGGGAGCAGCAAGCATGGTGAGCCTTGAAGAAGCCGCAGCAGCAGTGGCGGGAGTAGGAGGAGGAGTTGCAGGAGGAGGAGGCGGTGTGAGGCGAGGAAGCAGCTATGTGACTGGCAGATGTAGCCTGGAAGGATCCTCCTCCTCAGCAGCAGCAGCAGCAGCAGCAGCAGCAGCGGCGGCGATGGCGGCAGCAGGAGCAGGTGGAGGGTCGCGTAGAGGGGTCCGTGAACGCTCCATCACAACGACTGCAGCCCTAACAGGCAGCGACTCCCTGTCAGCCCGGGAGGTCACTGCGGTGCTGCAAGGGCTGGGCGTGCTGGTGGTGGACGACACGGGCGTGAACCTGGTGGTGGCCCGCCGCACTCTGAGTCGATGTGGCGCCGCTGTGGCCACGGCAGGCAGCGGGGAGGACGCAGTGCGGCGGGTGAAGGAGGCCATAGGGGCTGGTGTGGGGGAGGATGGTGGGGGAGATGAGGAGAAGGCGGCGGTTGACGTGGTGCTGATGGACCTGCAGATGCCGGGCATGGATGGGTGAGTCATGGGCATGGACGGGTGAGTCATAGGCATGAGATCACCCGTTGTTGCTTGCCATTCCCATCATTTCCGGGTTCCACTCAGGCCACCTCTGACCCTCAGACGTTTGGTGCCTCTTGTTAGCGCTAGATTGCTGTGCCACTTGTGTATTGTGCGTCTCCATCCTAGGTTCAACTAGGAATGTTTGCGTGGTTTGGGTGTTACACACAGATTCCAACCAATCAATTGGAGATTTTGTTTATCCCAGTAGGGATTTCACCCAATTCCCATTTCATTCCCTACCAACCCAGGTTCATGGCAACAGAGGCCATACGAGCACATGAGCAAGCCACAGCCGGTCAGCTTGCGAGATCGTCAGAAGGGGGAGCGGAAGCAGCGATTGAAGGTTCAGCCACCTCTGTTGCTGCCCCTCTAGTCCCCTCGGTTCCTCGAGTGCCCATAGTGGCACTGACAGCGGATGTGGATGAGGAGATTACTCGGCGCTGCCTTGCGAATGGCTTTGATGGCATTCTGCAGAAGCCAGTCGACCCCAAGCTACTCTCGCACCTGCTGCTGCACATTGGGAAGCCATGCAGACTGGGGTCTCTTTGAAGCCTTTCAGATCCAACAGTTCACATTCAGCAGTGATTTGCACTGATATGGATGGTGAATAGAGAATTGATTCCTTCGTGGGTTAGATGTACTTGATAAGGGCGCATGAGCATGGGCACAGCCCTTGGGCATGGGTATATACCAAGATCATGGCACAAGTCTGAGGAGGCAAGCCACAAACAGGGCACATGTCTTTGTCAAACATGTGTATCTCTTATGTTTGCATAGACTGTATAGGGTCACCTCTTAAAGGGTACAACACTTAGATATATTCACCTGTACTCTCTCTCACTAGTCATTCATTCAGTTTTGAGATGGTATCAGCAGTAGGTAGGTCCCCGCCCACCCACGCTTCCGTGCCCGCCCTAGCGCCCGTCCTAGCCGGCCCCGTGCCCGCCCTAGCGGCCCCTCGTGCCCCCCCCTAGCGGCCCCTCGTACCCGCCCTAGTGCCTGCCCTAGCGGCCTCCCCGCGCTAGCCCTAGCGGCCCCTCCCCTCGGCCCTAGCACCAGTCCTAGCCGGCCCCGTGCCCGCCCTCGCGGCCCCTTCGCCCGTGCCCGCCCTAGCGCCCGTCCTAGCCAGCCCCGTGCCCGCCCTAGCGCCCCGCCCTAGCGGCCCCTCGTACCCGCCCTAGCGGCCCCTCGTGCCCGCCCTAGCGCTCGCCCTAGCGGCCTCTCCGCGCTCGCCCTAGCGGCTCCTCGTACCCGCCCTAGCGCCTGCCCTAGCGGCCTCCCCGCGCTAGTCCTAGTGGCCCCTCGTGCCCGCCCTAGCGCCCGCCCTAGCGGCCCCCGCGCTTGCCCTAGCGGCCCCTCGTGCCCGCCCCAGCGCCCGCCCTAGCGGCCCCCGCGCTACCCTAGTGGCCCCTACGCCCGTCCCAGCCGGCCCCACGCCCGCCCTCGCGACCTCCGCGCCCTGCCCGCTCGGCCCCTGCGCCCGTCTCAGCCGGCCCGCGCCCGTCCCAGCCGGCTCCGCGCCTGTCCCAGCCGACCCGCGCCCGTCCCAGCTGGCCCGCGCTCGTCCCAGCCGGCCCGCGCCCGTCCCAGCCGGCCCGCGCCCGTCCCAGCCGGCCCCGCGCCCGTCCCAGCCGGCCCTGCGCCCACCCCGTCGGCCCCGCGCTCGTCCCGCCGGTCTGGTGCCCGCTGCTCCTGGCCCCAGCGCCCGTCCTGCCCCGAGCTGTGTGCGGCCCGCTCGTCGTGCCTGCTCCAGCCCTGCACCCTCCCTGGTACGGTTTCCCGTCACCTGTACCGCACTGTACCGCACTGCCCCACGCTGCACCGCCCTGCACCGCACGGTACCGCCCTGCACCGCACTGCACCGCACGGTACCGCACTGCACCTCCCTGCACCGCCCTGCACTGCACTGCACCGCGCTGCACCGCACTGCACCTCACTGTCCTGCACTGCTCCTGATGGCGGCGGAGCTTCGCTTCGACGCTGAAGGCCAGCCTCTGGAGTTCGAGGCGTGGCTCGCCGACCTCCGTCGCCACCTCACTGGCCAGCGGCAGGATGGCCACTTGCTTTCCGCACACCTTGACGGTACGCTCCCCTGCCCAGACCCCCCTGCTGTGCTGCCCGCTGACCCCACACCCGCTGAGCGCGAGTCTACTGCAGCCGCTGCCCTTGCGCGCTCTGTCTGGCTTTCCCGAGACGCTGTCGCCCAGCTTGCCATTAGCAATGCCCTTCCCCCGTCTGAGCGCCCTCGCTTTAGGTCCATCACTACCGCCCAGGCTTTCTTAGATGCTGTCATCAAGCGCTATTCCACCCCTCCTGCTGCCTCGGTGGGTCGCCTGATCCTCCTGATGCTCTTTCCTGACCTTGCGTCTTTCCCCACTGTCGCTGACCTGGCTGCCCACCTGCGCATGATAGATGAGACCTGGCGCGCGGCCTGCACTGACGCACAGCTTAGAGCCCACCAGCTGCCCATTACCTCTACCCTCTACCTGCTTGCCACCCGCCTCCCTGACCGCCTTGCCGCCGCCTGCGACCGCTTCCTTAGCATCCACCCCGGTGAGCTCACCCTCACCGACTTTGTAGACACCCTGACTGTTATTGAGACCCGCCACCGCTCCATCGCCCAGGCGAGCGGTACTGTGCCGGTCCCTATCTTTCAGGGTTGTGCCCCCGCTCAGTGTACCTTCTCCGACGATTCTGCCGCTGTGGCTGAGACTACTGCTGCCGTGCAGTTCCGTCTGGGGAAGGGCCGCCGCCCCAAGGCTGGGCGCGGCGGAGGAGGAGGGGGTGCCTCAACCATGGATCATGCCTTGGGCATGGGTACATACCAAGATCACAGGCGCACTCACAAGCCACGATTATGAAGACATTCCACAGACAAGGCACATGTCAATCAATATGCACAGACACACCATGGCACATGCCTCAACCATGGGACATGACCCAACCATGCGGTCATGCCTCAACCATGGGGTCATGCCTCAACCATGCGGTCGTGCCTCAACTATGCGGTCGTGACTCAACCATGGATGGTATGCTTTGAATCGACTAAAAAACATACCATTGGGGGCACATGCTTCACCTGTGCCCCAACCCCAATGAGGGCCACTTGCTAAGGCACATGCGTCTTTGCTGAAACCTTCGGTCATTACCGAACGCTGCGCAAATCGACCCAGCAGCAGCAGCTACAGAACTCCCAATGCCCCCACTCCTCATGACGGCCAGTAAAGCACTACCGATCAGAGGAGGCTCATGGATCTCGACATGTACAGCGCTAGCTCGGTCGCTTGTCCCAAGTGGACCAGCGACCCGCCCCGCGTCCAAATGCGCCAATGGATCCGCGCCAGCCAAGGCCCGCCAACACTAGAGTTGTCTGGCAAGCATTCATGGCGTTGCGCACCTCTGCATTAACGCACCGTATGAATCGCTGCCAACCGCCACCCTCTGTTGCCCCCAAACGATGACGAATATTTCCTTGAGGTCGAAGACACTGAATACAACAACCCATGCACTATGGATGGAGACTACGGATGTGACGCATACAAGCAGGAATGAAATCTTCCTATTCCCCTACTTGAGTGTCCTCCATCCCTTACGGACACGAGCGTCGCAACCGGATAGGAAAACTTTGACGGAATCCTGCACGAAGATTCTTGCACTGGGAGAACCGCCCCTTCTTACTCACGCCAATGATCGCACTCCTCGCGCGAAGCGACGTCAAGAATAGCAATCAGTGGTACAGTACCTCTATAGCTGATGTGGCCAACACATGGTCGGCTCACGACATTTCAATTGCTATCGCAACCCCCAAGCCGGCAAAAGGGATGAGGATGAGGGAAGCGTCTTGGGCTGTTGATGTACCACAGACATCCCAGCAAAAGTACACTACCACTGTGTTCTTTGCTACGTGGGACCTAGCTGCTTTGTCAACATCGCGCGAGCCAGCCCTTGGGACATTGCTGCTCACATGGCCTTCAGTCCCAAATGGCGCGAGCCAACTGAGGAAGACACTGCAAAAACCACAACAGCAATAGCAGTGGAAGCAATAGCATGGACAAACACCAAGGCAGCAATAGCAGTAAAGGCAGGAGTAGGCATAAAAGCAGTCGCAGTAGTAACAGTAGCAGAAGCAGCAGCAGTAGAAGGAACATGAGCAGTAGAGGGAACAGAAGCAGAAGAGGGAACAATAACACAGACTGAAGGTACAGTCGGCGAAACGTCACAACAACCTAGAGTCGAGATAGGTGCCCTAGCTACAAGAAAGGGTTGGGGTTGGGCCCAGACCCTCCACGATGGACAAATGTGCCAGACTCAGCATGAAGAGGGGTCCCGGAACCCAGCCTCGAGGAACCAAATCCCTAGCACCTCGACCCCGACACAAGCTACTATCGCCTCGACCCGTGACTCTGGTATAGGGGAGGAGACGACCAAGAGGACCAGGGGAAAGACCTGTTGTTCCCCTTGGCCATCCTTTTCAACCTCCTGGCACCTGAGCAGAGTACAAATGCGTACCATGGGCTGATGAACCTCGCCCACCAACTTTTGCCCCTTGAACCAGCCCAAGGACTCGGAAGTCCCAATCCCCCGGACATGACACCTTTCCGATCTGAGGAAGAAGAGGGGTAAATGCAGACTTGGGAGCCTAGCATCATCCAGGGCCTCCTTTGAATCGACTCTCTCATCCACCAGCTCCAATGAAAGGAGTGGGAGAGTCACCTGCTGGCCCGGCAGTTCCCCCAAGAGAGATCGTTATTGGCACTGACATCCTCGAGAGGGATTTTCTTGTGCTTATTGTTACAGCCTCACCTCCTCCTAAGCAAGAACCAACCTCAGCTGAATTCGCTGCTCGCTACCATCGTTCCAGTGGCTACCGCGCACCTATTAACACTTGGCATCAGCAGCTTGGACACCCCTCTCACACTACCCTAAAAAACTCATTAGGGCAGGAGACTTCGCCCTAGGGACACTACTAGACTCAGACGGCAACGAGCTCCAGATCAGCCAAGAACCCCACAACTACACAGTCTGCCTTGAAGCCGCTCTCACACACCAGCCCTTTTCGCTGCTTGAGTGCAGCACCAACCGCTATGAGAAACTCGAGCAAGTATACAACGACTACCTCGTACTCATTCAAGTCGGGACTCAGGGCGAGCAGTACACACTCACCTTCATCGACAACAGCACCCACTATATATGGGCCGACAACGTGTGGAACATAGGCCGAGTCCATCAGCTCTTCAACCTCTTGCTCAACCCTGCTGAGCGCCAGTCAGGAAAGGAGCTCAAATACTGGCAAACCGCCGGAGCTCGGGAATTCCGCAGTGAGGAACTGCAAACCTTATTCGGACTGCTGGGGATCGAATGTCGTCTCTCCTTGCCGTACGCTCACTTTCAGTACAGAGTCGATGAAAGGATGAACCACACCTTGATAACCAAGGTGCAGGCCATGATGCACCAGTCCCTCCTACCATCTAACTACTGGCCATACGCCATGCATCATGCCGTGCGGGTGCACAACATGCTGTCCACCATGACAAATGAGGATAATATCTCACCGCATCGAAAGTGGACCAGCACGGCCGGGGACACGATCTTGCTCTGCGTGTGGAGGTGCATGGTGCTCATATCGCGCGCAGTAGGAAGTTCGAGCGGCAATCCTGCTGGGGGATTCACCTGGGAATCTCCAAGGGGTATAGAGCATGGAACATCTTGGACTTCAACATGTCCAAGGTGGATCCTTTACGGTACGTCCTCTTCTATGAGAAGACTGCACAGTTGGTGCTGCCACCGCCTATGCTTACACGGGTTGCACCTTCGCCTCTGCGGATGACGAGGCGGCAGTAGAGGAGCTCGAGCATAACCTATTCCCCTATGAGCACCCCGGACCTAGCCCATGGTTTGACGATGATGATGTCGACGACCTGTGAATCGATTCGTCCTCCTGTGACACTTTCCATCGTGGCTCAAAGAATGAGTCTAGGCGTGATGGAAAATGTTGAGGACCACTCTAGTTTTCAGAGTAATGGTGAAAGAAGCTTCCAGATTTAAGAGTACTGAAAAACCAAACATCAGCACTGGGCCTCACTAGCTTGCTACATTGGTGCTAGGATGCTGCCTACAGGTGGCAATTTGTGCCACAGCGAAGCCATGATGTCACTGACTGCCCATTGTTGGGGCGCCTCAAAACTTCATGTGACCAACAGCTCCATCGACACAGAACAGCATTCTAACTTCTACACTCATAAGCAGCCAAAGTCATTGCTCTTTGCGCATCACTCAACGATGGCACGGCTTTTGCAACAGGATGTGAAACACTCCTGCTGTACCCTGGCCGGCAAGGCTGCCTTGCCTTGTTATTAATCCGCAGCAGCAGGTGCGAGAGCAGCTTGGGGTCGACTGGCTTCTGCAGAATGCCATCAAAGCCATTCGCAAGGCAGCGCCGAGTAATCTCCTCATCCACATCTGCTGTCAGAGCCACTATGGGCACCCGGGGGACCGAAGGGCCTGCTGACGATGCTGAATGCAAAGCTCGGGCTTGTTCATGTGCTCGTATGGCCTCTGTTGCCATGAACCTGGGTGCAATTATAGCGAGGCACAGGGGGCAATGGAGAGTACAGGGTTGGGGTGGACATACATGCGACGACAATTGAGATAATCACACGCTCATGACACACCCATGCCTGCTCATTACATCCCCCCACTCACCCGTCCATGCCTGGCATCTGCAGGTCCATCAGCACCACATCCAGCGCCTCCCCCGCCCCCCCCATGGCCGCCTTCACCCGCCGCACTGCGTCCTCCCCGCTGCCTGCCGTGGCCACAGCGGCGCCGCATCGACTCAGAGTGCGGCGGGCCACCACCAGGTTCACGCCCGTGTCGTCCACCACCAGCACGCCCAGCCCCTGCAGCACCCTGTGCACCCCCCCCTGGGCCGAACAGGAGGCAAAGGCTGGTTCAGCCGCATTCGCTGAGAGGGAGCGCGCCCCTGCCCCTGCACCCAGCCCTGCCACTGCTGCTGCTGCTGCTGATGCTGATGCCTTTCTGCTGCCCTTGAGTTTGCTGCTTCTGCTGGTGGAAGCACCGGCGGCTGCCATACATGTGCCCGTTACTCCCATGCTGCGGCTTCTCCCCACGGCTCGCCTGCCACTCCACTCCAAATCACAGCCACCGATTCTACTCTGCTCACTCGAATCACCCTGTGTATTGCCACCGTGCCATGCAGTTCCATGCCCTACGCGTGCCACCCTGCCACCATGACTGCCGCTCCGACCCTCAATGCCGTTCTGCTGCTCCCTGCCACTGCCCCCCACACTCCAGCCGATTGAGAACGGATGTGCTTTCAAGCTCCCCTCTCTGCTCCCCTCTCTGCTGCCCTCTCTGCTCTCGTCCTGCTCCCTGCCCTCGTCTATTTCTGTCCAAGGCACAGAGCTGCCGTGTCTCTCGCAGCCTCTGCTGCCATGGGACAGGCTGCTTGCATCGAGTCCAAATGCTGCCATCTGGGTTTGGGTGACCGTGGGGGGAAGGCACGGGATCGGGGAAGGCACGGGAAGGTATGGGAAGGCATGGGAAGGTATCGGAAGGTATGGGAAGGTACGGGAAGGTATGGGAAGGTATTGGAAGGTATGGGAAGGTATGGGAAGGCATGGGAAGGTATAGGAAGGTATTGGAAGGTATGGGAAGGTATGAAAAGGCATGTGGAAGGACAGGAGGTCACGGTCGTGCAGGAATACAGAAATCTAAGAACGTCCAAGAACGTGGGAGTAGAAAGTGGAGTGGCAAAGAATCAGCAGTAGACCGCATTGCAGAGACCTGACAGCTCACCTTTTGCCAAAGGAGGCTCACCTGATGGCAACAGAGGCCTGATGGCAACAGAGGTTCACCTGAATGGCATGGTGCAGATAGTGAGAGAGAAGCGGGCGGCGACAGATGACCACACGGGGAGAGGTGGGAGAAGCAGCACCATTAGTAGCTGTAAACGAACAGGCTGGTGATGGTTCAGACTGAGCGGAACCTTCCGGTTCTCCCCCCTCAGCGAACTGCTTCTCACTCCCCGCCTCTGCCTCCTCCGCTTCCTCCTCATCTTTGTCCTCAACGTTCACCTCAACCTCCTTCTCATCCTCCTCTTCATCCCTCCCCTCTCCCCACATCTCCTCGCCACTCCAGAAGCCTGCCAGAACGACAACCCCCACCACATGTCCGACACAAGCCATCCCTTCTACCCGTCTCACGAGCCGCACGGCTGCCTGCCACGCCGCTGCCCCTGCAGGCACAATTGCTACCGCACCCGGCCTCCTTCCTCCCCCATACACACTCCCTTCACCAATCAAACCTCTCTGCCGCCCCACAACACCCAAGAGGAGCTTGCCCATGTCACTTTGCCGCCCATCCATGTCACTGTGCCGCCCATCCATGTCACTTTGCTGCCCATCCATGTCATTTTGCCACCCATCCATGTCACTATGCTGCCCATCCATGTCACTTTGCCGCCCATCCATGTCACTCTGCCGTCCATTCCTGCCACACTGCCGACCATTCTCACATGGACTGCCAGAAAGTACCTCTCCTCCCTCACTCTGTTGCCTCCACAGGTCCCCCTCCTCCACCACCACCACCACCCATGGCACACTCACCCCCTCTCCCTCCCCTCTCTCTCCCCCTTTCTCCCCCCCACCCTCTCCCAGTCTCTTTTCACCAACCGAGCCGTTTGCCCCCCCTGCAGACTGCACATGACTTTGCGCCACTGTCTCCCTCTGTTCTTGCTTTGCTGGCAGGAAATGGAGCTCTGCCTTTTGAGTCGAATCAAAAGTCAGCTCTGCCGTTTCACAACATGAGCGTTTGTCTGATGCGCCTTCCACTGTTGCTGGCAGCAGATGCACTTGTGCTCCGAGACTTGATAGGAAGCGAGCCGTGAGCTGACGAGGGGAAGAAGACAAGGGGTTCAAAGGAGAAGAAGGGTGCGTCAAAGATAAGAGTCGGGCAGCAACTGCCACAGGCGGTGGTAACTTTATGAAAGGGCTTTTGTTCGGAGGGGAACAAAGGTCGAATAAAGCATCCTTTCCCATGCTCAACTTCCACACATCCCCCTATCACATCACATGGCATCATGTCCCACACCCCCCTATCATGTCACATGGGCCCCATGTCTCACCTCCCTGCTGCCTGCATCAGACCCCACCACGCCAACAGCTACCCCATCAATGCTGCTTGTGGGCCCCACACACTCCTCCTCCCTCTCCTCTCTCTGTCCTTCACCCCCCGTCCGCCTCTGGGCCCTGAATCTCCCCACGTCTCCCCTGTTGCCACAATCCCGCCTTTTGCTAGATCCCAAAAACGGCAAACATCCCCACAATTCCTCTGCCCCACATCCCCACCACATCTCCCCCGCCTGCCCCTCATCGTCCTCTCGCTCCTCCCCTGCCTTCCCATCCTCTTCGTTCTCCTCTCCCCCCCTCTCGTCCCCTTCTCTCGCCTCCATCTCGCCCCTCTCTCTAGAAGGGCTTTCAAGTGGCGCATCGTATAAATAATGCCGGCCCGGAAGAACAGGAGAGTGATGACGAGTAGTGGGAGTGTCGGGTGGGCCAAGAGTGTGAGGGGGGGAGGGGTGCGCAGCGAAGGGGACGGAGAAGGCGAAGGTGGAGCCGATACCGGGATGAGACAAGCAGGTGACACGACCACCCATGAGGGGCGCCTGGGGGGAGAAGGGGGTTGGGGATGGGGGCGGAGAGAGGGAGGCAATGGACAAGCAGGCAAGACGCACCCATGAGGGGCGCCTGAGAGGGGGGGGGAAGAGGAAGTGGTGGGGAGAAGGGCAGAGGGACGGCAGAGAGGGAGAATCAAGAACAAGACCATTCATGGATGACCAAGATGAAGTGGGAATTGTGATGGATGGGCAGCCAAAAGGAGATGTGATCGATGGAAGTGGAGCAGTGTGACCAAGGGATGGGCCTCAATCATCAATCGGTCGGAAAGCACACCGGTCGGAAATCACACCGGTCGAAAAGCACACCGGTCGAAAAGCACACCGGACGAAAAGCACACCGGTCGAAAAGCACACCCGTCGAAAAGCACACCGGTCGAAAAGCACTCCGGTCGAAAAGCACAACGGTCGAAAAGCACACCGGTCGAAAAGCACACAGGTCGAAAAGCACACTGGTCGAAAAGCACACCGGTCGAAAATAAAAGCACACCGGTCGAAAAGCACACCGGTCGAAAAGCACACGAGTCGAAAAGCACACGAGTCGAAAAGCACTCCGGTCGAAAAGCTCACCGGTCGAATAGCACAGCGGTCGAAAAGCACACCGGTCGAAAAGTATATCGGTTGAAAAGCATACCGTTCGAAAAGCACTCCGGTCGAAAAGCACACCGGTCGAAAAGCACACCGGTCGAAAAGCACTCTGATGGAAAAGCACACCGGTCGAAAAGCACACCGATCGAAAAGCAAACCAGTCGAAAAGCACTCCGGTCGAAAAGCACACCGGTCGAAAAGCACACCGGTCGAAAAGCACACCGGTCGAAAAGCACACCGGTCGATAAGCACACCGTTCGAAAAGCACAACGTTCGAAAAGCACTCGGGTCGAAAAGCACACCGGTCGAAAAGCATACCGTTCGGAAAGCACACCGGTCAAATTGCACACCTGTCAAATAGCACACCGGTCGAAAAGCACACCGTTCGGAAAGCACACCGTTAAATTGCACACCGGTCAAATAGCACACCAGTTGAATTGCACACCGGTCGAATTGCACACCGGTCGAAAAGCACTCCGGTCGAAAAGCACACCGGTCGAAAAGCACTCCGATCGAAAAGCACTCCGGTCGAAAAGCACACCGGACGAATAGCACACCGGTCAAATAGCACACCGGTCAAAAAGCACACCGGTCGAAAAGCACACCAGTCGAATAGCACACCGGTCGAAAAAGCACACCGGATGAAAAGGACAGTTGTGGAAAAGCACACTTGTGGAAAAGCACACCTGTTGAGAAGCACACCGGTCGAGAAGCACATCGGTCGAGAAGCACACCGGACGAAAAGCACACCGGACGAAAAGCACACCAGTCGAAAAGCATACCGGTCAAAAAGCACTCTGATCGAAAAGCACACCGGTCGATAAGCACACCGGTCAAGTAGCACACCGGTCGAAACGCTCACCGGTCGAAAAGCACACTGTTTGAAACGCACACCAGTCGAAAAGCACACAGGCCAAAAGCACTCCGGTCGAAAAGCACACCAGCCGAAAAGCACATCGGTCGAAAAGCATACCGTTCGAAAAACACACTCTTCAAATCGCGCACTGGTCAAATAGCACACCGGTCAAAAAGCACTACGGTCGAAAAGCACACCGGTCGAAAGGTCGAAAAGCACACCGGCCAAAAAGCACACCGGTCGAAAAGCACACTGGTCGAAAAGCACACCGGTCGAAAAACACTCCGGTTGAAAAGCACTCCGGTCGAAAAGCACTCCGGCCGAAAAGCACTCCGGTCGAAAAGCACACCGGTCGAAAATCACACCGTTCGAAAATCACACCGTTCGAAAAGCACTCCGGTCAAAAAGCTCACCGGTCGAATAGCACACCGGTCGAAAAGCACACCGGTCAAAAAGCACAACGTTCGAAAAGCACTTCGGTTGAAAAGCACACTGGTCGAAAAGCACACCGGTCGAAAAGCATACCGTTCAAAAAGCACTCCGGTCGAAAAGCACATCGGTCGAATTACACACCGGTCAAATTGCACACCGGTCGAAAAGCACACCGGTCAAAAAGCACACCGGTCGAAAAGCACCGGTCGAAAAGCACACCAGTCAAAAAGCACACCGGTTGAAAAGAATACCGGTCGAATACAAAACCGGTCGAATAGCACATCGGTCGAATCGATAATGCAACTTTTCCTGAACTTATTCGATCCCGTAACACTTTTTAATCAGAGCTTTTCTCACTCGGCCGCGCTCAGCTAAGCAGCAGCAACGGGACTCCTGCATCAAAAAATCGTTGGAGGTGATAAATTGGACACCGATTCAGGTAAGCACCAGCTTCGCTTTTTTTTTAATTACCCCCTCCGCGCGTGTTTTGAACAGGATAGCAAACTTTAACATTGCCAAAGTTACCCAACAGCTCTTTGCAAGCATCGC